ATCATTCCAGATGTTGAGTTTCATAGTTGGTTGCTGTTTGGGTTTGATATAAGCATCTTTTGGTCAGAGAATGCAACGTTTCCTGCAGCAGGGAAAATTTTTTCTTGGAGTAATGAGAATAGCTTAGTCTACTTGGAATTGAAGCAGAAGAAATTGATTTGGGATATTAAATGTTGGAGAACAAAGTTTTCTGCTTTGCAGGGTGTTCTCCTTACAGTTGCAGTTACAGTTAGTGGAAAAGCTTGCCACCAGCAGTGTTTGGAGCCCTGCAAATCCTATTGGCTCAGTATTGACTCCTAATTAATGATCCACATTCTCACAGATGCACTGAGGCCTTCTGTGATGTGGCTGTCTATTGTCAAACAATAGAGTCATTTATTTCCAGCTGTATTTGTCCCATGAGTAAAGGACATGAAGTAGTGCCAGAGCGTGGTTTCTGTTGGCTGCTGTACAGAAATTTGGCAGCTTTTGTAGCCAAGGGAGTGTAATTTATAAAATTCAGAGATCTGATGGCAACTGGTCAAGCTGTCTTCAAATGCAACATGCTGGACTTTTCTCGAGTATGCTTTGTGTACCTAAAGCCCAGTTCTGGCTACAACAGCTGCATAGTCCAAAAAAACAGTTCAAGGCCCAGGGTGAAATGGGATGGAATACAGCCTTTGCTCTGACCCACACTAATTAATCACTTCCAATGAAGCCAGCATATCCCTCTGTTTCTATGAGGAAGCCACTCGAGCTGTATCTGGTGTCTCTGCTTCCGTCAGTGTGATGGTGGCTGTGTTTTCCTTTTACCATGGGCTGAAAATGCTCAACAGTGCATCACCAAAGGTGTGATGCTGTGATTATGGACTGCTTCTGTTAAGCTGTACTTGCCCCAATGTGCCTTAGGCACCCTGCAGGTAGGGCAAGTCTTTAATGGGCTCCATGAGGACAGTGTCCTCCAGGGCAATGTCTGTGACTCACGTGTTGGTGTAACCTAATATGTTTTACCTGTGTTACATTGGGGTTTACATCTAGAACTGAACTGGGATTTTTTTCTCTTTTTATAAAAAGTATCAGTGATTGTTTTAATATGTTTTGACGTTATCTAAATACCAGAAAGATGAAATATTTTACAGTACTCAGGCTCATTGCGTGCAGGTTCTTTAAGCAGGCTTGGGCTGACCATGTGCTGACCTCAGGCTGTTTTGCTGTTCCAGAACTTCACCAACACTTATGCAAGTGGTTTTGACTGTTCCAGTGAAAACTGGGCAATATGTGTGATTCTGTTGATCAACTGAATAATCAAACCTCACTTTCTTGGGCCGGGCTACATGAGGAGATGCTGACATGGTCCTATTGATTTTAGCTCTGGTAAGTGCTCTTGTCTGACTCTGACATAATGGCTGGAAGTGAGAATTGTGTCTGCTTGTGGGAGAGCAGGATAACACACACTCGTGTGTCTTTTGAGTGTACATTCATGTGCATACACACACACTTATATTCACAAACAGACCTTTTCTAGAGGCTGGGACACTTGCTGTGGTTCAGCCCAGACCATGTTCCAGAGGGTTGGCCAACTCTGGCATATGACCATGGATAGAATTGTTTGTGCATTGTTCTGGCTTTGTTGTAAATGCCAGAGTGATCCCATTGTTTGAGTGGGATCTTGGTGAGATGGAATTCTGAGTGAGTGAAGCGTGGTTTGGAGCATGTAGCATTTAGTTATTACTTTTTTGCCCCCTATGTCTGTTCAATGTTTTATGAAGGTTTAGCAGAGTCTTTGCACAGCCTCATTAAGTGCCTTATTGGGCTGCAATGGCCAGGAGTGCTGTTAGCAGTTCCAGCAGGAGGTGTGGCTATGTATCCTGTACCTGCCAAAGAGCTGCTGGATTTGGGGAGAACAAGGCAACCAAATCCTAGAACGCTCATCAAAAATGCGAATTAAATTCCACAGGCGTTTGTCACAGATCATCAGTATCAGGAACTTACTCTCACATGTGCTCTGTGCACCTTTTCAAACACTGCCAGAAATGGACTTCTGCAGCTGTTGCCTGCAGCTGTTTATGGTTTAGCTGTAATTTCATAGTTCTGTACATGCTGGAGAAACCAAGATGGTTTATTGACTACAGGCAGGCTCTACAGCCAGAGGAAAGGACACTTTATACTATGCCACAGTATAAATAAATCCACAAACCCAAACATGGAAAAGTCATTCTGTTGCTGACAGCTGATTTGTGATTTTTCTTGCCACAAGGATTAGGTGCTGCTTGGAGCTGACTCGCCACAGGACTCCTGTAGTTGGAGCTTGCTGGATTTTGTTAGGGTAGCTCCATGTTCCCATAGTTCTCACCTTGTATTTGGGAGAGGGGAATTAATGGTCCAGCTTCTCCCTTCTCCTTCTCTGTCTTTCCTTTCCCACTTCCTTCCCCTGACACAGATTTCCAAAGAGAAATAACAGGTTGCTGCTTTGTCGGTTGAAAACTGTTCTTAGTTTCTAACTTGATATTGTCCTAGAAAGAGATCAATTGTGACAATGCAGAGTCCCCAGACGGTGCAAAAGAGAGCTGCTTTATTGCAAAAACCAGGCCTTTTGGAGCAGTTAGCTGATTATCAGTTTAGGCACAGTTTTCAGTTTAACCCCTAGTTTTAAGGCACAACAAGCCCAAGTCAACCAACCACCACACAGCACGATGTGGACATGCAGCAGTCACACAGCACAGCTCTCACAGCTCTCTACCCCTGTTCCAGCTGAGTCACTCTCCCACAGTTCCCTTCTACCTAGCCTAAGTAGCAGGCCTGAGCCATGATTTTACAAGGGTAACATGGCCCTTATTTTATAAGACTTTACCTTATAAAATAAGACTTTACGATTGTGTAACAATAGATGCAAGCAAAATCCTGCTAGTGAAGCACGGATAGAGGATGATGTTCAGTATGTACAAGTACTTCTCAAAGGGAAAGAAGCTGAAATTTAGAAATTATGGGGGGATTGAGTAAGCATATGATAATTCAGTGTTGGTTGGGGGGACATAAAGCTGACAGTATGAATAGGTCTAATAGCTCAGCATTTGTAGTGTTGGGGTTCAGTAGAAAAACCATCAGGTAACCAACAGCAAATACTTGTCAAAAGGTCCTTCTGAGGTTTACTCAGCGTTTGGGTCATGGATACAGTGGATTAAGTGTTGAGATCACATGGTGTCCATGCATTTTCTGTCAATGCCCTGCCCTTTTGGCAGCCCCTTTGAGATCATAGTGATTTCTGTGATGAGGACTAAATTGCACCAATGTCACACAAATACCTCCCCAAACCTGTGCTGGGACCAGTCTTGTGCTATTTCTCATTACCAGGTATCTGTTCACACCCTTGGAGTCATTCACACATGAGTGGGAATTTTTATAGTGGGAGGCATGTGATCCTCCTGGTTCTGCAGCATCATTTCCCTCCTCTGCCTCAGCTGATGGATGTCAAAATCATGGGTTATATGTGGGACAATAGGCAGGTGAAAAGGAGCAAATGCTTTTTCCTGTTCTGCATCAAGCAGAGGTGGGAATGCCCTCTTGGAGCTTCCTGGTGAAGAGGGACAGGAATAAGAACTGAGGGCATTTTGCATGCAGGACACCATCAAGGCAGTAGTGGGGGGACGGGAAGTGAGGATTTCAGGACCTTCAAACTCTTAAGTCTTCTTCAAGATAGAGTGGGCTTTCCCTTTATGTCCATGTGATATCCAGGACAACTTGTGTGCAGGTGCTCGCATGGAAAAAGGTTTCAATCTCCAAGCTGATAACTGTCATCACGCACTTTGTGACACATGTACATCTTCCTTCTCTCTCTACTTGTGCAACTTTTTATCAGGGTGGTTGGGGGCTGAGATGAGGACTTTTAAGTCCCCATGAAAGTAAGTAAGTCAGACACATGAGCTGTTGTTGAGAGCATGAGCATGGTGCTGCCTCTCCCTGCATCCTTATGTTTTGTACGAGAGTCCAGCTCTCAAGAAAGCAAGAGCTCCTCAGGAGGCTGAATGTCAAACTCAGCTCAGAATTCACCCTGAAATGGCTATTTTTTTACTTGATGAATGGAGAATATTTGCTATATGGAGGGGACTATCAAGTCTACTCCACTAAGAAATCTATATAAATAAGATTTTTTTTTAAAATCCCCCACTTAAAGTGCCAAATAGATACTTTTCCAAGTAAGCTCACAGTACTGCTTGACTTGGAAGCATAGGATCATCTCTTAAAATGTGTTGTGTACCAGCAAGGACTGAAATATCTTGCCTAGAAAAAAAACAGATCTAACTTTTAGAGCAGGACTTTTCTGTAGGTTGGCTGATTATTGCTTTGTGCTGCTTGACTGTGATTTTTGGCACACAGTGTCACATACCAAATTCCCGAAATAAAATGCTACATGATATTCTAAGAGTTCTTAGGAAGCTTTAAAAAGGGATTTGTCTGCTGAGTGGGCACCTCTTCTGAAGCCAAATGATGCAGCAGCAGTGGTTTAACAGGAGAAAACTTTAGTCAGCAGATAATTAGTCTTTTTAAATAAGTGCAAGGAGAAAAAAAATAAAACCTTCCATCAGACTTGTGTTTGTAGAAGTTGTCAGCAATCCTGCTTTGATTGGAGAGGGTGTGCAGCCCTTTGAATAGTTAAAACATCTGTTCAGCGACGTTGTGAAACGCTCGTGTTCGGAACCCCTGATAAGGGGGACTGCTGAGCGCTGGGCTCTTACAGGCTCCACGGGCAGCAAGGGCTGCACTAAGTGTGGCCACTGCTTGCCTTTCCTCCTCCTGGGCAGAGCAAAACGTGGGAGACAGCTACTATTTTACATGTGATTTTGCTTTGAGAGGGAGAGAGCAGGAAGTGCCTAGGAAATGGTTCATGACAGAAACCTGGAGTTTTAAATAGGAGAGAAGAGGAGAGCTCATGGGCACAGTTTGTGAACAGTTGAAACACTGACACAACAGCAGCAGGGGAAAACCAGGCTTCTGAGAGAGCGAGCACCTCCCAAGCTATCCTGATGGAAGGAGAGACAGTCCCCGAGGCGAGGGGAGCAGCCAGCAAAGCCACTCGGATCGCCCTCGGTGTCTTTGTGAGTGGCACTGTTGTGCTTGGCACCGCTCTTTTCCTGGGTAAGTGAAAGCGTTGGCACTAACCTGAGCACAACCTCCCCAGCCTGTCTGCTGGGTGCCCGTGTTTGTGTCTCACGGTGTCTTTTGGTGAAAATCTAAATCTCTCTTTCTTTCCCCCCTTTTTATATTTATCCTGAAAGGGATATGTGTCAGTAAAGGAGTTCTTTTGGGAATGCTAGAGCCGGGAGATGCAATGGGAGCTCATGTAACGTTTTGAATGCTGAATTTAAATTTAGGTACTCAGTTGAATGTGTTCTGACCAGACCTGGGTTCTTTCACAGGACAGAGAGAAGCAGGTGAGATGATGCTGATTATGGATTCAGTGGTTGTGACTGATGTGGAGTAATATTCTCTGTTTCCTGAAAATGAATCTGTGTAGTGCGTGCATTTTATGGAATCTTTTTGGGTTTTTCTTCATTTGGTTTTCATTTAGGGCTTGACTAAAACCCCCGTAGAAAGCTTCAATAGTGCATATGTGTGCACATTTTTTAGATCTTTGTGTTCTTCTACGATGAATTGCAAAGTTGCCTTTACAAAAGTCATAAAGGGTGCATCTAGGATGAAATTGAAATATTTTTTTTAGATATATAAGTTGTAACTAGATGCAACAGAGAAGGAAATAGTTTTTCCTCTCCCAGATTTGGAATTACCTGTTGATTGGTTTTGTTAGCATAACACTTGAAAGCATATACCTACACTTCTGAAATTATGTGTAGAAGTATAAATACACCCAGAAACTCCAAGCAGAGTGGAAGCTGTGTTGTATCCTGTAGGAATTTTGCAGAGTTGGATCCTCTTTTGGAACAATTCTGCCCAACTTTTTGTTTCTTTAGACCAATATAGATTTCCCTAGATGGGTGGAAACCTTGCCTCTAAGCATATCTTTTGCTTTCATCCAATCCTTTATGATCTTGTGATCTTGTTTGAAAGGTCTGCTTTGTTCATAGTCACAAAACAAGGTCAGGTTTTCTATAGAATATTTAAAGCACCAGGCTCACTCTTGGTTAGAGCTTTTCTGCTCTGGAGCAATTTCTGCAACATTTGCGGGAAAATGACTTCTGTGTCAGTGATCCCATTCAAGTTAACTTTTTATAACCATGAATGAGTTTGAATCTTCAAATTTCTAGATAAAAGAAAAAGTTTTTCACTTAAAGAATGCGGTATAAACACCAGGGAGTAATAATGGAGAGACCTTATTTCTTTTTGTCTGCACTAGATTTGTTTGTTTATTGCTTAGAGCAGTGAAAGCGATTGACATTTACCATCACAGCTTCTCAGAGATAGAACTGCTTGATCCACAGGCCAGGTGTGAAAATTCAAGCAAATATATTAATACTTGCAGACAGTTTTCCAAGTGTGCCTGTGGCATGTTCTGTAGGCAGGGACTCAATATCAAAATTTTCATTGGCATAACTGCTAAGAAAATAAAAATGCTGGCTTTGAGTCAACCAAAATGCTTTTAGGATTTCTTTGGAAATGGTCTAGAAATTTTCAACCTAAAGAACCAAGGAAAAAAAGTTAAATTGTTTTGGTTTAACATTTTTTCAGCTAGATGTTTTCACACTTCATTGTGACATGGTTTTCTTTGTAAGTTTGAGCTAATTATTCTTTAGTTTTATTTAACTGTAGAAATGGACATAATTTTTTCTGTCCATATGAAACATTTCAGGCACCTCAAGATGTTTTTTTTTCTTCAATTTTCATTTAGTCTGCAAAACTTGTTGTTTCTGGTACACCTGAAATTAATTTTCCAGCCTGAGGGGTGAAATGTAGCTTTCTCCTGCTTTCTTCTCATAGTTCCTACAAGTCCAAGAAGGATGTGGGAGAGTCAGGTATTGTTATTTACTGTTCCTTGCTTGTGGTGGCTGTAACCTCGCTGTGACTTCAGTGGGGAGCATTGCTGGGGTGCTGCCTGTGGCACTCTGGCAGGAGTGGGGCTGTGACAGGACAGCAGCCACCTCCTCCTGGGAGGGAGCAGATTGCTCTCCAGTGCCCTTGGGTGAGAACTCAGGCAGCTTTAAATCTCAGTTTGAGAGCCTCTTCTCCAGACTTTGTAGGAGAGTTCTCCTTTATGCTTCTCACATCACAGGAACAGTCACATTATTTGTATCTGTACATTTGTATTGTTTTCCTTTTCCCTTATAGATTAAGTTTTTAAACTCAGTCGTGGAGTGTATTTGCTTAAGAATCTGCAAACAGGCTTATCAAGGAGGAAGCTAGGATGCTGTGGGTTATAACCGTGACTCTAAGTAATAATGTTGTGATTAGTTATCTTAACAGTAAAAAGGCCAGAGAACAAAACTGTGCAAAGTTTTTTTTTTCTGTCAAAATTAGCTGTTATTTAAAATGGAAATATTACTGCCAAAAATTTATTCTAATGATAAAATAGTAGGTTTCCCAGTTGAAATGGCATTTTGTGTTTGTTTAGAAGTATCAAAAACACAAGGGCTGCTTCAGGTTAAGCATGAAATGATGTCTGGGCTTTTTCCTCCTTTCTCTGCTTTGTTAAGAAAAAAGTCTAGCAAGCATTCAAGATCTGGACAGATTCTAAAGAGATAAATTCTAATCAGGGAAAAAGGTGAATTGGGAGGAGTGCAACACTTAACTAAAAGGGACGTTAACGATTATTTGTAGTTCATCTTTGTAGTGGCTCAAAACCATATTGTGAAGATCTCCACTTCTCTATTTCCTCCTGTTCTTCAATATTCCAATTACAGCCTTTGTATGCCTCAAAATCTTGTGTATTTCTTCACTAATTTACAAAGGTGTTTGAGGTGTTGTATTTCACTAAACCAATGCAAGCTTTGGAAAAGCTCTCCAGAAATAGTTTTATATTGCCATTTTCTGAGAAACTTGGATTGAAATCCAGATATTTCTGTCATTAATTGCCATTAAAACAGTGAGACTGGAAGAGAGGAAACAGCTTTAGATTCAATTCTAGCTTTAGGACCTTTTGTAAAAAAAAATTCCTGGGCTGAAATGAAATTTCACATTTTTCTATGACTTTAAAACAACATGTAACTACCGCAGAAATTGTTTTAGAACTATCTGTACTGTTAAAGCTATGGTACCATAATATATTCCATTGTTGGGTTTTTTTTGTTCAGTGTTATTTGCTTTTTTATTTTTGCCATGGACTGTTATTAAGATAATGGATATAATGAGACATTTCCTTATGCCTACTGAACACGTCTAGTGAGAACTATTTCACCTATCCCTTGGGATTCTCCCTTCCTAGTCCCAAGTATCAATTATCTGCATATTTGCTGCCTGAGAGCAGTGTCTGAAATTAGCAATTCCTGTGCTTAAATTTCAGTGGCAGTTGTAATACATGTTTTTAAAAGATGAGCAAAATTAACTGACAATTTCGTAGTTCTTCTAAGCAAGGCTTTTGGAAGCAAATGCAATTACAATACTTTTGGGAGACAATTCAGACAGAACCTGGGTTGTGCCTTATAAGCACAGCTATCCTTGTGCCCATTGCAATCTGCTTTGTTCCAGGCTGGCATAAGGAGACGCTGGGAGGGTCCTGTTGGTGCTGGGTTGTGCTGGGCAGTGCAGTGCTGCTGCAGGGCAGTGTGGGCACCACAGCTCCGGGGAGCTCTGGAAACCCTGCAGAGGGTGGGGAGACTGCTCCGTGTTGCATTTCCCACCATGGAAGGTGCAGCCTGGTCCTGTGGAAGGTCCCTGCCCATGGCAGAGCATTGGAATTAGAGGATCTTTAAGGTCTGTTCTAAGCCTAGCCATCCTATTCTCCTGTGTTTCCAGGCTCTGGAGGATGACAACAACGCTGAATTGTTTGTATCGTGGTGCTGCTCACCGTCAGTGAGTAGGGCTGAGGTGATGCTGCTCCAGGCACTGTGCACAGACAGCCCTTGCTCTGTGCTGCCTGTGAGCAAAGAGGGGGAAGGAAAAAGCAAGACTAGGAGGGGGAAGTTATTTGTACAAGCTGCAGTATTTACATAATATATAGTCTAAATATTTACTTACTATACATTCTAAGTGCTCTAAATCAATGCAGTCAGAGAGGCACTGGGACCAGAGGCTGCACTGATATTGGAATGATTGAATACACAACATTTGGCTGCAGCTCTCAAAATTCATTGCAAATGATCTCATTATGGTTTTCCATTTTGCAGTTAGCCAAGGTCTTATAAAGTTTCATGCGAAGCAACAGTACTGTTTGACTGCAGAATGCATTGAAGCTGGTAAGCAGCAATTTTATCTTCTCAATTATATAATGATTATAGTATGTCAATGAGGTATTTATACCATTTAATTTTTCCCATTATACATTTTACTCAGGAAGCTCAATTAATGACGGAGAAAGAACAATAATCCCAAACTTTTTAAAATGTCACTGTTCAAGTTGCTTCTGTTTTGTTTATTTTGTACAATTAAAATTTGTGTTTTAATTTGGTCTAATACTAGTTTAACTAGGTTGACTCAAAGTTTCCCATAGGGGTTATTTTTCTTTTTTTTAAATAGGAAACAAAATGTTGAGTGACTAGACCTTTAGGTATATTTTGTTGCTTCCTTTCCAGTTATCAGAAAACTAGCAAGTGTATTGTTAAGCACAGAGATTATTTTCTACCAGATCTGGCACACACTTTATATGATTTTATATTAAAATAGGGTAGATTCAGACTAGTTATATGGAAGAAAATTTTTGTGGTGAGAGTGGTGAAACACTGCACAAGTCACTCAGAGAAGTTGTGGATGCCCCATTCTGGAGGTGTTCAAGGTTGGATGGGACTCTGAGCAACCTGGTCTAGTTGACTATGTCCCTGCTTATTGCAGAATGTTGGACTAGGTGACCTTTAAGGGTTCCTTCCAAGCCAGACTATTCTATGATTTTATGATTAGGTACTAAAAAGATACTGAGTCTTGGGCTGATCTCTCTCTTTCCATCTCTCTTTCACTGACAATAGTAACTGGTAAGGAAGCAGTCACAAAATGGAGCTGAAAATACAATTATCTTTTCCAGTGTATGGTAGATCACAATTTGATTTGTTTTCTTGTGCAGTATTCAACTAGAGGTAAACACCACATAGTTACTGAAATGCTAATCACAATCTACTTAATATGTATCACTACTAAATTCCTCAGGCAATTAATTCTATCATGGCAACAAGGGAGAGCTTGTCTTCAGGTGTCTGGCTCCAGCAACTCATGTTCATGCAGTGCTAAGTTCAGTCATAATTGCTGTATGGCACTCAAGAAGATTCATTGCAGATATTTTGTTTTTTTGTTTGTTTATTTGTTTCTCATTAATTATAATTTCTGGACTGTAGCCTTGTGTAATTCTCTATTTAAGAAAAAGTGTTCCACAAAATCTGTGTGTGTGTCTTTTTTACAGCTGCTGGCATCCTGAGCAAGATAAATCAATCTGTAGATCCATGTGAAAACTTCTATCGATTTGCATGCGATGGCTGGATATATAATAACCCTATTCCTGAAGATATGTCCAACTATGGTGTTTATCCCTGGCTGCGACACAAGGTGGACCTCAAACTAAAGGGTAAATAGATCGTTTCTAAAAGTATTTGGTTGGCTTGTCACTGTAGCTTGTTAATTGTCTGGGTTTGAGATGACCAAAAATCCCCACGGTTCTCGTCACTGGGTAACATCCGACAGCCTGACTTGATGTTCTCTTTTTAGTATATTTTCTTTTTTTTTTAATTGAACATTACATTGAGAGATACTGAATTTAACATAAACAGAATTGGGAGGAAGAATAGATCTGCTGGGAATTCTGGTAATTCTACCAGTTAAGAATGGATGGATGAAATTATACTGATTATAGCAAAAGGAAAAGACAAGGGGATTTAACTCTTTCCCTCTTGCAGTAGATGGTTAGACCAGAGTGCAGGAGCTCAGCACACACAATTAAGAATGTCCCAAAATCAATCATCAGTCCAGGGCAGCAGGCTGTCTCTAACAGTGGCCAACAGCAGGAAAGAATATAATAAAGCCAAACCAGGATGACATTTTCCAGTACACTCACCTAGCCCTTGCCAGAGGCAATTCTCAGGCTTCCGGAGACAGAAGTTGTTTGGGTATTGTGTTTCCTTCCCATTGCCATTCAGAATGCCACTGAAGTACCTGAGCTATCACCAGTGAAACAGAAAGTTGCTTAAGAATGTGTTTCCGGAGGAAAAAATAGCCCCAGGGTGGAAACGTGTAGGAAGAAAGGTATTTTAATCTGCATGTACTTGACTTTGGGCTATACTCTGCAGCGTGGCTACCTCTCCAGGAAGCCCTGCAGACCAGCTGGGGAGAAAGGGGATGATTATTGTTAGGTAGGAAAATCTTGTCAGAATCTCATAGTCTTGGCTAGAAGTGAGTCATTCAAAAAAAGGGAGACATGCAAGATTTAATGTTGTTGGTGGTGTGCTTGAGCTTTGCCTACCTTGAGTACATAATTGACGTAAGAGCCTGGCTTGAGCTCACCACAGAACAGAGGTTCAGTTTTAGAATTTAATGCTTAAATACAGCACTTGTTTTTCTTTGGATTTTGTGTAGGCACCAAAGCCTTCTCCAATTGCTTTTTTCAGTCTTATTGTATACAAATTTCACATCATTAAGTATTTTAAATACTGCATTTGGGTTCAGAATATGAGTTCTGGTTTTCAGCATAGTACATGATCTCACGACTTCTGTTTAAAGTCTGCTGAAGATGTCACAAGGAAAGGAAAAAAAAATGTTGCCAGAGCATGTTTTAAGTTATGCTTTGCATTCTAATTGTTCTGCTGCCAGAATTGGGCTGTATTAGATAACTGCACGTCCTGCATGAACCATAGCCACAAGGAGGCCACTCTTAATTGAATATAGAGTAGCAAAGCTGTCACTGTCATTCTTAATTTCCTCTTTTTACAGGTCCTAATCAAGGGCATCATGCTAAGGCAGATTTTTATTTGGTTTTCTTTCTGCAGTTCCTTTAGAAGTTGCTAGTACATAGCTAGAAAAAATGCAAGACAAAGAAAGAAACATCCAAGTGGGAAGTATTTGCTTAACGAAAACTCCATATCAGATAAAGGGAGTTTATACAAATTTATTTAATAAGAGACCCTTGGCACAGACAGGGACAAAAAGATGTGAAATGCTGGTTGGTGTATAGGAGTGTTTTTAAAACAACATTTCCCATCTCTTCCTTAACTTTTTACTTCATGAACTTTCCAAAATATATTCTTTGTACTTAAAAAAGGAAAACGGAAAGCACTGGTAACTGGAATAATAAGCATAGCTTAGCCTCTCGAGTGTTTTCTCTTGAGTTATCTCAATGTATTAGCTCAACACTGTTATTAATTTGTGTATGACCACAACCTTGCTAGCAGAAGTTTTAGCAAGAAGAAGAACTCCTGCACAGAGAAACAGTTATAGGGCTGAATAGACCTTGGCAGCAAATTTAATCTCTCCTTTCTCAAGAACTCTTAGTAGAACTTTGTACCACATGGTAAATAGCCCTGTTTGACATTCGGTAGATTAAAGAAATCTCAGTCTTTAAAAACCTGGTCATTATGCAAGTTCTATGCTCTGAAATACTTATTATATTAAAGAAAACTATTAATCTTAAACTGATAACTTGGCTTGGCCAGAAAGACACATTTTTCATATTTGATTTTCTTTGATGGTATGATATAGAAGGAAAAATTTTTTTAAGGCTATATATTAAAAAAATTATGTTACTTAAAAAAACTGTTTGGATATCAAATCTATTTTCTGGTCCCTGAATGTTCCTGAGCCTACTCCTGTTCCAGAGAAAGGGATTTTTGGCAAAGATCTGTTACGCAGGCTGCACAAGTATATCTTCAATATTCTGGAAACAATTTTTTTTTTTTTTCTTCAGGAGCAATTGCCACAAAAGAAGATCTTCCAATAGATAATGAGTAGCAAGTGTAAGAATTAATTTTGTCTTACCAAAAAAAGGTAGTTGTGGCTGTGTAATGTAATGTACGTAGCCCTGCATTACGTGTTAGTAGGCTTGAGAATGAAGCTTTTTTTTTTTTCTATTTCTTTTGGGTTTGGTGTTTTGGTTTGTTTTGTAGTTTGTTTGTTTGGTGGGGATTTTTTTGTTTTGTTTGTTTTTTGTTTCTTTTAGTGTGTGTGTGCAATTTTAGGTTTTGTTTAGTTTTCTTCTTTTGTGTTTTTTTTTTGTGTGTGTGTTTTTGGGGGTTTTTGGAGTTTTTTTGGGACTCACAAGAACAAACAGTTTGCAGGTGTCAGCTTCAAAAAAGGGTAGAACATTTTCTGTATCAGTGAAGGTTTTTGGTGCCTCAATAGTGAATTCCAAAGAGAGGAAGTGGTAGTAGGTCAATCCAAAATAGCTAAGAACTGCTGGGTGGTAGATTTTTTTTGACTGCATATCTCTGGTTGATTAAAGGATCAGGATTAGAAACATTAATTTTGGGGTTCTTCTAGATATCCAAATCATAATATGATAGTTAAAAATACTTTTGTTTTAAGATTTGGGTTTATAATGGGGTAGGAATATATATATATGATGCTCCCATGGGTTTCTCTAGCTCTCTTAAGATGCATTCAAGCTAAAATCATATCATCATTTCCCCTTTAATTTCTTTTCCATACATTGTTTGAGGGTCACTTGGGTTTATTTTTCTGTGCTCAGAGGAATCCACAAACCACATGTGTAACTCACTTTGATCTCCTGACTATACAAAATAAATAAAGTTCTAGCCTGGAGAAAGTAGCGGTAGGTCTTTCCTTGGATGTGACCTTCAGCAGGATTTCAGGCGTCGTGGAGGAATGTAAAGGAGATAATTGTAGAGAGCCAAAAATACCTCAAAAGCAGAGGCCTGTGGCTTGGTTTATGACCCAAACCTAGGTAAGGGACATGTAATATTTAGGTTAAAATTTCTTATAGAACTGTGCCTTATAGAACTTTCCTGGAGAGGACTGATATATGACTACTTTCCCTTAACCATTCCTGGCTGGACCAGGTTGTCCCTGACCCGAAGCCAGCCTTTCCTTTTCAGCTACAGCACAGGCAAAAGTACCTCATATCAGAGCAAGCACTCCTGGTGCCCAATAGGCTTCTGATGAGGAAGTCTTGGAGTCCTTCAAAATTGAAAGAATCATTTGCCTGTGTTGTATGAACAGAAGCGATCTCAAACTGCAACAGCTTCAGCCTCATGTCAGGTCAACATAGCAGTAACTCTAGGAGTTACTGAATGTTTTGCCAATTACCATAATATTTCCTACAAAGCTGTTTGTGTTCCTGATGAATTTTTCCGTTTTGATTTGATGACCTCCATTAAGGTTTTAGGAGTGCTTTTGTTTGTCACTGAAAAGCAAGTGGCTTTTTGTGAGCAGTTTAGAGCTGGAGGTCTGAGGCACATAATTCAGTGCTTATTACCTGTGGTGAATGTTGGTGGTGAACCCAGAAGCTTCTTTTCCTTTCTCTGAAGTACAATGGTATACAGCTGGCTTATTTTTATCTTTCTATGAGTGACCATACAGGAAGCAATAAATTAAAATATAAACAACAAAACAAGACTCCACAAACATTCCTAAATTTCACTACTGCAAAGGAGCTGATTTAAACTACGTGAATAATTTGTGAACATGTCTTCCAGATATTTTAAATTTAATTTGACTGTGAAATTAGTTTACAGATTAAGTCTCCATACTGTTCCTGGTCCAGTGAGACACCTACTTCAGGCTGATTTGCTGTGCTAAGCTTTGTAGTGTGGCTGTTTTCTGAATGTCAGTCAGTTTAAAATGAGGATTTTCCAGTGTGCTAAACAGAAAGAAATGGAGGCCTTTGAGGAGGATATGGTGTGTGGGTTTCTGAAGAACATGAGACAGACAGCAAACAAAATATCTTGGCAGCGTAGGCAACTTTTCCCAAGATAATCTGCAATGATTTCCTTTGGAAAAGAAATTGTTTATAAGTAAAACCGGTAAGTAAAAATGTCTCTTTGGAAATTTATGCTGTTTGACTATAGGATATCCTTTCAGACTGATCCCAGGAGTTGGTGTTGAGCAGTTGTTGTTGCTGTTGAGTGTTTGCTGTCCTGCACAGAGGACCCTGTGCCACAGGGCTCTTTTAGGGCTGGGTTTTATCTCCCACCATTCAGCTGGTGCTCAGCTGGGACCACTGGGATAGTTTGGATGTGCTCCATGAAATCTGTAATGCAGCTGCTGACACTCATCCCCAGGTTTCCATATTAGCTGACCTGTCTCTTGTGATTTGTTTCCTTCAAAGTTATTTGAGCTTTTTGAGAGCTGTCCTAAGTATGATGAAGAATACCAGCAGCAATTAAAATAAAAGAGGATATGTATTGTTTTTCCTCCAGTATATTGCTGGCTAACTGCTCTTGAATAACAAGAAGGCTGAAAAAATCAATAACACTTCATGCTGTTTTGCTTGGTCTTTTCTGCAATAAATGGATCTCTTTTCAATGGTATAGACACTTTTTCAGTGGTCCAAGTCTTTCCTATAGTGGCTTATTTATCTGAATGTAAGAAAAACATGAGTGGCACAAGTCAGGTAAATCT